TCCAGGGCGGCTCCTTCCTTGGGGCATGGCGGGGTGCCCTCCAGGGCAGCTCCTTCCTAAAGGTCCTGAGGACGCTTTGAATGCCTCTGGTTTTCATGCTGTTGACTGTGACATTGATGACATGGAGCCCTGGCTGTGGGTGCAGGCTTGGTACTGGGCACACAGGGTGCTGTGTGTGTTCACTGGGGGCCTCTGGGCACCTTCCTGTCGCAGCAGGCCTGGGGGGCAGGGCCTCGCACTGACTGCAGGCTGGCTCCCCACCTGGCCTCCTGCTCCCCACCTCTCTCCTGGGTGCCTGTCCCCGCTCTTCTCTCTCCCTGGGTGTCCTGGGCTGGATCCTGCTCTGGCTCTTTGCTCTTGCTGTTCCCACTGCCACAAGCACTCCTGGGCTCATCACCTGGCTAGCTTTTCAAATGTCACCCAGGACTGTTCCTGAGACCTGCTTAATTGGTCCCTCACAGCACGAAAGCTGCAGCACAGGCACCTGTGTGGTGAGCCCGGCTTCCAGTCCCAGCCCTGCCTCTACTGGCTGTGTGACTGTGGACCAGTGTCCTGACCACTCTGTGCCTTAAGTTCCTCATCTGTTAAATGGGGAAACAGCAACGATGCCGATTTTATAAGACTGGTTCACAGCTATCTCCCAGCACCCTCTGGGTGCCAAGTGCATGGCAGAATGGGACAGCCCGGTCCTCCCAGTGCATCTGAGTACTGTGGTGGGCCTCGGCCAGTTTCCAGTGGCCAGTGCAGGATGGCGGCTGATTGTCGGAGCCCTTAGGTGATCACTGCTCATGATGTGAAACCCCCTGAGGCCATTTGTGTGCTGTTGGCCATTCATTTTCCCCTGACTGCGGGGAAATAGTGGTCTGCCCTACTGTCCCTAGCACCCGCCCTCAAGACAGATGGGCAGACACTCAGAGGAATTTGCAAGCGCCCCCCCCCCCCGGAGATGCTGGGGCAAGGGCTCACCCCAACTTCAGGCCAGCTGCAGAGTCACCCCCAGAGGCAGCTGAGGCCTGGCCTGTGCCTTTCTTTACCCTGTGGCTGAGCTGTGCTGAGTGGCGCTGGCAGGTTACCCACCCTCTCTGGGCCTTCGCTTTCTTGCCTGTGAGTGGAGGTCATGCTGACCATGCCTCCACAGGGGCTTGACGCACCAAGGGTGGAGAGGGCGTGAGAACAGGTGCTGGCCGCAGAGTACTGCGGCTACTGCTGTCAGGCGGGCCAGCTGTGGGGCATTGTGGCAGGGGCTGCAGGGGTCCACTCAGCCAAGGTCTTGCGAAGGACCTCTGAGCCTCAATTTCCTCATCTGTGAGATGGCCTTATGGACCTGCTGCCCCCAGGCTGGTGGAATGAGTCAGCCAGGGCCGGAAGCGGTGGGCAGTCAGCCCAGGCCAGCTGAGCCAGGGGCGCATGTAGGTCAGTGCCTGCAGCCCAGGCACAGGGTGGCCCCTGACGACACTGGGGCTTCGCCGTGGGGGGGCCGGAGCTGTGGCTGGTGCCTGGATGCAGTGAGTCAGTGCGGCGGGAGGGGTGCGCTCCCTGTTACCCGCGGGACTCACGGACCCGGCTTTCGCGCCAAGCACCCGCCTCCTTAGGGCCGCGGAAGACGCGGTTTCAGGGAGACCCAGTGTCAGGCGGCGATAATCGCCACCGCGGCGGCAGCGGCCAGGGCGCGGCGGGCTCGGTCCCCGCCGTCGGCCTCAGCGGGCCTGCAGCAACGGCCCGCGGCCTCCGCCCGGGAGCCCTGGCCAGGTGGGGAGGCCGGCCAGCCGGCGGCCCCTCCCCGTGGCCTTCTGGAAGGTTCACCCCGCCGCGCAGCGCCCGCTGCTGCAGCCTCCGTTGCCCTGGAGACAGCGGCCGTCTCCGTGGCGACAGTGGAGCGAGGACCGCAGCGAGCAGGAGGCAGGCGGCGCGCGGCCGGCTCCGCGGGTCCCGGAGCTGCTTGGGTTCCAGTGGGTCCCCGTGAAAGGCCAATGGGCACAGCGGGGGGGGGGGTCGCCCTCGGGACCACCCTGGGCCTCGGCTCTGCCAGCCACGGAGGGGCAGAGGGGCTGGTGCATCCTGGTGGGGCGCAGCGGGGCACCTCTTCTGCAGTCTCTACCCCCAGCAGGGACGGCCAGCTCTGGGTGGCTCTTCCCAGGCTGCTCAGCCCTCTCTGCTGCCTGCTGCCTGGGACCCACTAGCCTCGTCCCACACTGCAAATGAGCTCAGTCCCCAGCCAAAATAAAATGTACACAGCCCTGGGCACTTGGGTACCTGCCCCTTCTGGAGATTGGGAGGAGCTCGAAGGCTGTGCCAGCCATGCCTGCCCCAAGGGCACCAGACCCCAGGCGTGGTCCCAGTCTGCACTGCCCCAGCTCCTCTCCCAGGTCCAGGCAGGCAAGGTCTGGGACAGTGGGCCCTCCTCCTGGGACCTCGCCCCTGGTAGGTGGGGGAGATGTCTACTAAGAGGGCTGGGGTGTCCCCGCCTGGCATCAGGTAGGTCGGGGAGCCTGCGGAGGCCTTCCAGGAGGTGAAGAGCTGGTGCAGCCAAAGCTGAGCTCCTGGCAGAGGCTTCACAACTGTGGTTTCTGGCATTAGAGAAGAAAACTGCAGGGGCTGGGATTGTGGCTCAGCGGTAGAGCGCTCGCCTAGCACGGGCAGGACCCGGGTTCGATCCTCAGCACCACATAAAAATAAAGGCATTGTGTTGTGTCCATCTACACCTAAAAAAATAAATATTTAAAAAATAAAGAAAAAAAACTGTAGGACCAAATTTACAAATGGCCGGTGTGATGGAGCATGCCTACCATCCCAGCGACCTGGGAGGCTGAGGCAGGAGGATAGACACTCAAAGCCAGCCTCCATAACTAAAATGAAAAGGGCTGGGGTGCGGCACGGTGGCACAGCGCTTGCCCGGTATGCTCACAGCCCCGGGTGCATTCCCTGCAAAACCAGAAACAAACCCTTTGGAAAAACCGCCATGCACGTGCTCCCCGGGAATGCTGTTGGGTGTTCCAGGGCCCGGGCAGTGACAAACTGTGGGACACTCGGAACATCCTGTTGATGGAACTCGAGTTGGGAGGTAGCAGGTTGGAACCAGCGCCCAGGGCCCCACTGCACTGCTCACCTCAGTGGTCATCAGATTCCTCCCAAGGCCCCACCATGAAAGTCCACTTGGAGAATCTGCCCAGTGGCCTTGGAGGGGTCTCCAGGAACCTCCAGTTGTGTGCACTCTTGGGGACCTCCTATCAAGGCTGAGAGGGGAATCTGGGTTGGGAAAGGGATAAAGGAATGGAGGCAAGATCCCAGCAAGGACCCAGTTGTCACCTGGAGGGGGAATCTAGCTGGTCTGCAGATGTATGCAAATGATATGCAAATCGTGGAGACTGCCCTCCTGGTTAGTAACTTGTCCCTTTTGAGGTCCTGGAATCTGGGAATTCAGAATCCCATTCCTGCACACAGCTGGCTTCCTGCAGCGCCTTCCTTCCAGCACCAGCCCACAAGACAGGTGGCAGGGGCTGACATGTGGCACAAGTGAAACGAGAGGATTTTTAAAATATCCATCACAAAGACCCACCCAGACCTAGCTAGGTGCAGTGGGGCGCACCTGCCGTCCCAGCCACTTTGGAACTTGAGGTTTGGAGGGTGGCAGGGGTTTTGTTGTTTTTCATACCAGGGACTGAACCCAGGGGTGCTGAGCCACATCCCCAGCCCTTTTAGTTCTTTATTTTGAGATAGGATCTACACTAAGTTGCTGAGGCTGGCTTTGAACCTGTGATCCTCCTGCCTCAGCCTCCTGAGCCTCTGGGATTCCAGGCATGTGCCACCGCTTCCATCCTGAGGACAAGTTTGAGGCCAACCAGGGCAACTTAGTGAGACTGTGCCTCAAAATGAATAAAAAAGGCTGAGATGTGGCTCAGTGGAGGGGTCGCCTGGCGTGTGTGAGGCGCCAGGTGGGAGCCCCAGTATGCAAAAAGGAAAAGAGGAGGGTCTGCTGGTTGGCCCTGGCATGTTACCTGGTTCACACCCTTCTTGAAGCAGGTCCAGGGTTGGAGTGGACACAGGGAGTCCCTGAAACCCAACCTTTGGGTGCTCCAGGGCGGGTAAGCTGTGACTGGGGACAGAGCAGTGCTCATGGGACCATCACTGCCTTTTGCACAGTGGTACAGCGCCACCTGGTGGCTCAAGGAGCCACAGCTGTGGATGGGGCTGCAGATGAGGCCCACCCCAGGACCCAGGGCCCCCTTGGTGGCAGCTTGACCTGCCTTCCTGCTTGGCTCAAGGGTCGGGTGACCCTTCTGCCCACCACTCGCTGTTTCCAACATCCCAGATCCTCCATACAGAGCACCTGGGCAGTGCTGGTGTGAGCCCCTCCCACCTCCCCACTGACCCGTCCTCAACCACCCTGCCAAGTCGGCACTGTACTGGTTTCACTGCTGAGAAAGCAGCCCAGAGGGTCTGACCACCCCCCCCAGGCTGCACAGCAGAATGTCCAGTGGGCAGCCTGGGCCCTAGGCCCTCGGTGCCATTCTTCTGTGAGGTCATCTCTTGCCTTTCTTGACAGGGGCTTCAAGCCTTTGGTCCTAGACCACCCCTAATAGGTAGCCTGGGGCCTGCATCTGGTGCTGGCCACACTGAAGAAACTTTTAACTTCACTTGTGTCCCCTGGACATTTTGCTGCCTCAGGAGTGAGGTGGTGCAGGGCTGCTGTGAGCAATTGCACAGGTTGGGCACTGCACAAGCCCGCCCTGGCTAAGAGGCGTCAGGTTTTTTAGCTGCCTATAGAGTAACTGGACGGAGGGCGTCAGGCCGGGGTGGTGTTGCTCGGAGGCCTGCTCCCTGCGTCGTACTGGTCCAGGCAGCTCTGCGTGGAGCCGCACTGTGGCCACCCCTCACTCTGCCCTCTGTCCCTAGGAGTGGCTGAGCAGGTTTGGCTACCTGCCCCCAGCGGACCCCGTGACAGGGCGGCTGCAGACGCAGGAGGAGTTGTCCAAGGCCATCGCCACCATGCAGCAGTTTGGCGGCCTGAAGGCCACTGGCATCCTGGGTCAGTTCTATGGACAGCAGGAGACACCGTGGTCCCTGTTGGGCCGTGCCGGCCCGGCCGCTCCCCTCCTGGGCCCTGCCCCTTGGTGGGCCTCATCTGACAGGCCTTCCCCAGGACCAGGGGAAACAGGCCTGGGCCTGAGGCCCGTGGCCAGAGGCCAGGCTGCAGCTTTTGGGGGCTCCTGGGAACCTCGGGCTGGGGGGCAGGTGGGCCAGGCCTGCTGCTGACCAGCACCCCCCCTGCAGATGAGGCCACTCTGGCCCTGATGAAGACCCCGCGCTGTTCCCTCCCTGACCTGCCCCCTCTGTCCTGGGCTCGAAGGAAGCGCCAGGCTCCGGCTCCAACCAAGTGGAACAAAAGGAACCTGTCATGGAGGTGGGTGACCAGGCCAGGAGAAGGACACTGGGCCTGACGGGGTGTCACCTGCCACGGTGCCTGCCATGCCAAATGCCACCAACCAGGGACTGAGACACCTGGGATTGATTTCCTGTGTTCTGGAAGCCAGAAGCCGGTCCTGCCCTGAGGGGATGTCCCAGGTGTCCCTCACCCACCTCTGCTCCCCTCTGCATGTGGCCTCCTCTCTCGGGGTCTCTGCCTCCTGCCTCCTATGGGGAGGCCCCTAGATTGGGGATTGTCTCACGCAGTCCCTTCCTTGTGCTCTCAGGTCTGGGAGGAGGGGGTTCATGGGCTGCCCTTCTGCTGGCCCCTGAGGTCAGCACTGGCTCAGGTGGCCCTGGCTGACGGGCCCTGTGAAGCTCCAGCAGGGCAGGCTGCAGACCCTTGCTCCTCAGCCCCCTGGACCCTCCCTCCCGTGTCCAGCTGGGGTGACTCCTGGGACCTCTGAGGAGGGACAGAGGCGGAAGGTAGTGGTACACCCTTGTAGGCCCCACAGCCCCAACGGGGAAGGATGCCCATCCAGCCTGGGGCACGGCCTGTGCTCCCCGGCCTGGACCTGCTCTTCCCTCCCACCCCCCCACAGGGTCCGGACCTTCCCGCGGGACTCAGCCCTGGGCCCCGACACGGTGCGGGCGCTCATGTACTACGCTCTCAAAGTCTGGAGTGACATCGCCCCACTGAACTTCCACGAGGTGGCCGGCAGCACCGCAGACATCCAGATAGACTTCTCCAGGGCCGACCACCAGGATGAATACCCCTTCGACGGCCCCGGCGGCACAGTGGCCCACGCCTTCTTTCCCGGAGACCACCATTCTGCAGGGGACACCCATTTTGACGATGAGGAGGCTTGGACCTTCCGCTCCTCTGGTGGGTGCTGAGTCCCTGGGACCCCTAGGCCCGGGCAGCCCCCACAGACTCCCTGAGGTGACGCAGAGCCACCCAGCCCCGAGACCAAGTGGCAGGCGGGCCACGTGCCCCCAGCCAAACTGGCGTAAAGGTGCCTGTGAATGGCCGGGCAGTCCCGGCTCCAGCCACCCCTGGGTGTCCATGAGCAGCCAGGCCGGCCTTGCCCGGGCCTCTCCTAGTGAGGAGGGCCTGGCCCATCGTTTGGGGCCAGGCCTGTAGCTCCAGGGTCTGAGGACCCACTTGACACCCGGGCCTTTGTGCTCGGGGACTCGGCTGGTCCTCAAAGCCTGAATGAGCCCCACGTGGCCCAGAGAGGTTGCTGCCTGCTGTGAGCATGCAGGGGACCCCCAGGGAGAAGCCGAGATCCCACAGAGCCGCAGAGGGAGTGGGCAGTCCTAGCAGAGTCCCCTGAAGGGACGCAGCCCCAGCACCACCAGGGCAGCAGGCCCCTACATGTGGCCCCGGACTGCAGGGGAGAGGGGGTTGCTCATGCAGCTCCCATCCCCCAGATGCCCACGGGATGGACCTGTTTGCAGTGGCCGTCCATGAGTTTGGCCATGCCATCGGGCTGAGCCACGTCTCCACCCCCAGCTCCATCATGCAGCCATACTACCAGGGCCCCGTGGGCGACCCGCTGCGCTACAGGCTGCCCTACGATGACAGGGTGCGCGTCTGGCAGCTGTATGGTGAGTGTCCCCGAGGCCGGACACAGGCCCCCTGGATGTCCTGAGCTTGGCTCAGCTGTCCTCAGACTGCCTCGTGCCAGACACACTGGCTGCCCTGCGTGAGTGGCAGGAAGGGAGGAGGGGACCAGCTGGCCTCAGCCTCTCTCAGAGCCCACCCTGGGTCCCTAGGAGCATAGGGAAAGCCACATCTGTCCCCAGTTCTCAGGATCCTGGCAGCAGCAATGGGGCAAGTGCAGGCCTGTGCAGAGCAAGGGGCCCTGCAAGTCTCCATGGTCCTGAGAGGGGACAACTGTCCACACAGGGGAAAACCAAGGCACATGGAGGCAGTCAGCTTACCCAGGGTGGACCACAGGAGCCAGGGCCAGGCAGCTTACCCAGGGTGGACCCACAGGAGCCAGGGCCAGGCAGCTTACCCAGGGTGGACCCACAGGAGCCGGGGCCAGGCAGCTTACCCAGGGTGGACCCACAGGAGCCGGGGCCAGGCAGCTTACCCAGGGTGGACCCACAGGAGCCGGGGCCAGGCAGCTTACCCAGGGTGGACCACAGGAGCCAAGACCAGACAGGTTGCCCAGGGTGGACCTCAGGAGCCAGGGCCAGGCAGCTTGCCCAGGGTGGACCTCAGGAGTGCACGGGCCAAGCTGAGCTCCGCCCCAGGGCCCCTCCCTCCTGAAAACCATCAGAAATAAGGCTAAAGAGCCCTGTCCCCCATCCTGGGAACCTGAGCCCCAGAGAGGAGGTGATGAGACCCCTGTGTCCTGGTCCCGGCCACTCCCCAGTCCAGGGCCCAGGCCTCACTCTGTGCTGTCCCTACCACTCTCCACCAATGTCCGTGGGGCTAGAGGAAATCCAGGGCCTCACCCATGAGGGGCAAGTGCCTCACCCATCCGTCCCCAGATGGGGTGTCGCTTTCACTGCAGTAAAACGCACATCCCGCAAAATTCACCCTTTGAAGTGTCCATGTCTAGCCAGGTGCAGTGCCCCCCCG